CATGCAGCTTCCAAGGAAATGTTCGGCATTTTATTATTTTAATTGTTTAATTTTCTTCGCACCGCCTATGATACTTTTTTTGATTAGGATTTTGTTTATCAGTAAAGCTGGTTTTTATTTCGTACTGTTGTTAGATTTTGAATTAAGTTAATTTTAAATCATTGTATTTACTGGCTTGGTTCTGTATAACAAACAAAACTTCGACACAATCTGATTTGTCTATTCAAATTTTAAATTATAAATGGTGGTTATACTTTAAAAACGTTTGGCTTTTTTAACTGATTATTTAGAATAACTTGTATAGTGGCTAACTATTACAATATAATTTATAAAACAGCATATCTCACAAGTTAACATGCCCCATTTTCATTCACATCACAGTGGCGTACCTTGCACAACTTTAATTTGTTTCATAAAAAAATGTTCGAGTAATGAATCCAAACTATTAACTGCTTTTATTTCTAAACGCTACAATCTTAATCTAAAGAATTGTAGACTCTTGTTATAGACACGAAGTAACAGACAAAGTAGTCATCATATTACGACTCTCGCGTTTATTTGTTTTCATAAAAAAAACCAATTTCAGTAATCCGATAAAAAATATCCATATTCTCCGTCAACTTTTACAAAAAACAATCTTGCTATCGCTAACTCAATATTAAGAAGTTATTTTGCGATGGCAGACAGCTCACAGCTCTCCGGCTCGTTTTCCCTTATTGGGTTATTCAAATTTTATATTCTAGTTTCAAATTATTGTGTCCCTTATTTCTTTCTTATTTTGTTCTTTGTTTTGTGATTTGTTATGCAATTTTCCGAGACACTGGCGGAATTTGCGCGAAAAAATCAACGTAGCCGTGAAAATTGGAGATGAAAAATGGAAATTTCGTTAAATAAGGTGGAAATGCTCATTTCTATCAAAGGAAAGTTAGTCTGATTTGGGATTCAGTTATAATTAGATTTATTTTTTTCTTGTTTTCTTCGACTAGTTAGTTTAATTTAAATTGAATTGTTTGTGAATTATAATAATAACAAATTGGATATATTTCTTTAATTTAAATGATCCAAAAGGTTGAGGAATAGACTACATAGGCCCCTGAGATAAAATTATTTACACAAACTTATAGTTTAATAATTAAAAATTAATTTATAAGAAGTATAACCTTCATTTTCTTGAACGATTCAGTATTTAATGATTAGGAAATATTTCTTGGTTTAGGTAATCTCACGCTTCTCTCAAATTCTGAGAACCAGCATTATAGTTCATCATAAAAAGAAACTGATGATATTAAAATATCTCCATATTAAACTTCTGTAATTTTGACATGTAACGAATAATACTTATTTGACTCTATGCTCAAAAGGGGATAATGATACATGCAACTATTATAGTAGAGACTCTAGAGGTCTGGGTTGTCTCCATTCCTGAAAGGGCTGCTTAGGGCATAAACCCCTGGGATATGCCGACGACCTACTACCTAGTAATTATAGCAAAAGGTAAATATTCAAGATATGGTATGCAAGAGGCTCTAAACATAATAACAAAATAGATAGAAAATGAAGAATTAATCATAAGTTCCAATAAATCTACCAACATTGCATAGCAGCAATAACAAGCCTAAGCAAGTTTCAAAGATATGCTTATCTTGGAATACGGGGGGCAATGACAGCAATCCCCACAGCTGCAATACAAGTACAATAGACTTTACTTTGCGATAAAGGGTGAGGTAAGATTAGGAGCTTACATATTGAAAAATATTCTGATAATTTTAACATTAGACTGGATTATATGAGTATTACAAGGTTAGTAACCAGAGGACGTGCTAGACATAAAACCAGCTCAAATAATCAAGCGTTACTACTTTAATTTTGTATTAGAAATTCTAATATCAACGATCATTATAGTGGAGTATTTTCCAAAAACGCTAATACCAATCTACTTTTTTTGAAAACAAAATTATTTGTTTTTTTAAATCTTTCTAAACTAACTTAACTAAGTGTCAGAATTTAAACAATCCTACATTTTTTTGAGATTTTACAGTTGAGATATATCCCAACCGTTTGGAAATACCCTGTATATAGACCAAAGTAGTTACAGATTAAAAACTAGAATTAAAGAACATTTCACTTTCTTTGAAAAATGGATTCTCAATAATATATTATCAGAAAAATGGATTTTTTTTCTTCTAGAAATAGGTACCTCTAATTCTGGACTTGGTTTCGATACTACACATGGTTGTCGAGATATAACAGTATACGTTATGTGCTAATACAATTATGACAAGCTGCCTGTTATAGCCGCTATTATGAGGCAGCGGTTAGTATGAACATTCTGACCCTTACTGGACATCGTTTTACCCCATTTGATAACCAACTACATAGGGAGACATCGATAGATTGACTTCCTGACAAAGCGGAAGTTAATATGAAAAACTAGAGTGGCCGAAATTGTTTGAATTGGCGGTATTTAGAGATTTTTTTGATGTAGTAGGGAAATATTGTAAAAAAATTGATTGAGCAAGTTTTGTAGTTTTTAAAATTATACAAAAATAAAAAATATATATATATATAGTTTGTTATCACATGTCAATAAATTATTTTACAAAAACTCGCTATTTTATAAATATTCTCCATATTATCTTCAGTAGTTTAGCACATAACAAACACATTGGTGCTACAACACGGTTTATCCATTGGTTCATTACTTTAAAATAAATAATATAAAAATATAAATTTAATTTTAGTAATAATAATATTGTTAATCTCTATTTTTTGGTACGACACTGCGCTCTGGCTAACCGCGTCTCTGTGGTTCACTATTCTGAGTGAGCGCGAGGGAGCGAGAGGTTTTGGCGAAAACCCTGTAACTAAAGAGAGAGGTCAAGACGTCAACAGACATACGACTCCTTCTAATCATTGACATAGAATAGAAAGGAGATGCAAATAGCTTTTCTAAAATATTTGAGTATGCATTCCTCGACACATTAATGTCATTTTTAATAGTAGTAACCAACATGGTTTTAGATCTTCTATGTCTACTACCACTGCTATGTTTTTCTTTTACGAAAAAATTATTGAACACGTTGATAAGGGTGAATGCCCTGCTGTTATTTTTTGTGACCACAGCAGAGCATTTGACTGTGTGAATCACGATATTTTATTGTCCAGGTTAGAGAACATAGGAGTAAGAGGCAGGCCTTATTCTTGGATAGCTTCATTTCTAAAAGGCAGGTCTCATTTTGTATCCACCAGTAAAGTTCAATGCAAAAAAAATTTTATTCAGATCACTTGTTAGTTCAGATGGGTGTGCCACAGGGATCAATTTTAGGTCCAATGCTATTCCTCCTATATGTTCACCCTATTGATTCAACTCAGGGGTCTAATATCAAAAGCAGCATACTCCAAATTTTCCGATTGAAGCTTTTTGTGTCGTACCGGTTTGGAATGTTTGTTTATTAAAATATCAGATCTTATATTGTAAAAATAACAGAAATAAGCCGTTAAAACCATTAAGAAAAGTTGTAAGTTTGTATCAGAAACAGCAATCTCCAGATTTGACATAACAGAAGCAAAATCACTTTCATCTTCATTTGCTTGGTACATTTTATCTTAATAATTTTCTATTTTTTTAGGAGAAACTAGAAAACCCCTTTGTTCCTATTGTTTTATCAAAAAATTTTATTTGAATTATCATGTAGTGATATGAAAATTGGTCCAATATTACAAATGACACACCAGTTATTTAACATCCTACAATTTTCTATTATTTCTCAACCATCCTCTTACACCAACAATTTTCTGCGAATCTCACGTTGACATCCTGCGGTCCTCGTAGCAGGATAGGCTTACTCGCGATGTTCGCTTGTAACTTAATACATGGGATTAAGGGATTACACAGTCTTATATTAGTCTGACATCAGATACCAGCGTTCGTTGTCAGTGACCACTCATGCCAGTCATCTAACTAAATGGACTGAAAACAAATCGCATGAGGTAAATTTGCGGTGAAATTTAATAGCGAGAAGGATTTTTTAATGAATGAAGTATTGAAGAGGTGAGGAATAAAAAATATAGGACCAATTTAGTAGCAATATGATAAAAAAATGAATATAAAAACTTAACTCACAAGATTTACTAATAAAAACAAGTATGAATACAAACACATCAATGGAAATCAATATGAATTAAGGAATTAAATATGAAAAGTTAATGTGTATTTATAACAAATTTTGAGAAGATTTCAAAAGTTACCAAGGCGCATAGCGCCGCGTGTATCATTTGAATAGTAAATTTGTGCAAATTGAAAGTTTAATAAGTTTGAAAAAATGTATATAATTATATAATGTTATTAAATATATCATAATTTTCATCTAAATAGTGTTCTGCAAATTCTTCTTGACCGGGTTCATCTATTTGGGGCTGTGGATCTAGCATCTGTTTCAATACTTGTTGGTGGAATGTAAATTGGTTGGTATTTTGACGATAATAATTTGTTTTAAAGTGCAATATTGCGATGTGAAACATACTTCAACTGATTAAACTACAATAAGTGCAAGAAAAACTGCATTTATTCGATTAACGTAGATATTTTAGTTTTTTTCGAGTCGTCAATGTATTTAAAGTTTACATCTTTTTTAGAATTATATCCTATTTATTCCACCAAGGTAACATTTATGTTAATAAATAAATCTGTTATTAATATCAGTGGCATATACCACTAAAAATAACGATGGTAGATGATTATAAGTGCAGTAAATGTAAGCTTACTAAATCTGATGGCGATGTTGGATGCGAAGGTGTCTGCTCAAAATGATTCCACTACTCTTATGTTTTTTTCGATGCTTTCAAAAAATAAAAATTTTTATTTTCTTTGTGAACTCTATAGACGCACATGCAGCATTGTTCAAGAAAAATCCTTGTCTGACCACAATAATAGCCTAAAATCAATTAACGAACGTTTATCTGACATTTACGATGTAGTTCAAAAAACTATCCAGAAAAAGTTAGATGAGATCTCTAGCTTTAAAGACGAAGTTGTCGATATTCTAAAAAAAAAAGATTCACGAGAAGATTATCCTTAGACTGGACGACTTTTCTTCCAATTCTTCAAACTCTAACACGTCTGATCTTAGTAATAAAGTATCATACTCGAAAGTAGTTGCTAAGCAACCTTCTTATGTAATTATGCCTAAGCCGCGAAAACTGCTATGATTCAAAATATAAACCTTGTATCATCTAACATGAACATCACTAAAGTAGTTAACGTTCGAGATGGTGGTATAATGGTTAGAAGCAAAAATTCTAATGAATGTACCAAATTTAAAAAGTCTACACAATCAAAGAAGTTCATGTACTCAATCCTCGCTTCAAGATCGTCGGTATCTCTGAAAATCTTTCTAAAAGTGATCTTATAAATGTTATTAAAAGCCAGAACAAAAATGAAATATGTCCAAATAATAATTTAAAAGTAATCTCCCAATTACCTTTGAAAAAGAATAACAAACTTTTCCAAGTCATAATACAGTCAGATATTAATAGTTATCGAAAGGTTATGTTACTAGGTAAACTATTTGTTGGCTACGATTACTGTAATGCTTTTAACACCATTGAGCTAAGGTGCTTCAAGTGCTGTCGTGGCATACTACTAACAAAACTTCACCAGGTCGGAATGTCTGAACAACTAATAACTGTCATAAAATCCTATATATCTGGACGCATCCCATTTTTTCAATGTCTGGGTCTCAAATCACGTGAATTTTCTCAAACTTCCAGAGTTCCTCAAGGCTCTATTCTGGGTCCTCTTCTCTTTAACATTTTTGTTAACGATATCGTAAATAATATTGATGTAAAATATTTACTATATGCTGATGATTTAAAACTATTTCATACTATTAATAACTTGAATGATTGCCACTTTCTATAACGTAATATTAAACCTATCAAATGATTGGTGCGCTGCCAACAAATTGTCTCTAAATGCCAATAAATGCAACACTAGAAAAGAGTCAATCATGCAATTTAATTATATACTTCAGGATATTACGCTATCAAGGCCTGAGTTGATAAGAAATCTCGGTGTCTACTACGATCCCAAGCTAACATTCGGTACTCATATTGATAAGACGGTATCATATTCTTTTCGCATCTTAAGGTTTCTAACTAGGAACATTAAAGATTTTAGAGAGTTCCATACAATGAATGTACGACTTTTCGATCTAAACTTGAATATGGATGCATTATTTGGAGCCTAATTAGATAACTCACCTAGAAAGAGTTCAGCGGAGATTTTTAAATCTGCCACTTTAATTTTAGATAATATATTTCCCGCTAGAGGCACTCCACAAAAATATTTTTATGACCGATTCGAATCCTGCAGCCTTGTAAAACGCAGAATAATGCTTTCTGTCACATTTTTACACAAAGTTATTAATGGGTCTGTTGACTATATGGAGTTAATTAACATGATCAACTTCCACGTTCCTAGGCTAAACTCCAGAAACTTACACGTATATTTCGTATAATCATGATCATTTAATTTTTCTTTAACTTTAATTCGTGTGAAGGTAGATCTGCTGGATTTCTGCTTAATAAGTGTTCATTTGAGAAGTCCACCCCTCCAAGTTGGTCTTTCACGGTATCAATACTGGTATAGACGACTTCATTATCAGGGATTCGCTGATGGACGGTATCATTGTACAATGCTGATGTCGCATTCAAAGGTGTCAAGATGGCTCGATGAAGGACTTCTTGTTCCCAGTTGTCATAATTTGCAAAGCATGTTCCATACACATCTTCTACTAGAGGCCTATTTCATAAAACTGCTTTGCAACTTTTCTTTGCACTTCGCAAAGTAGTTTTATGAAATAGGCACCTGGTCTCCTGTTGATTTAAAGTCGTTAGTAGGTAATTGTCCATCTCTCATTGCTAACACCTCTTTGGCCCATTCAACTTTATCTTCTTCTACTTGTATATTCTTTGTAAGTTTATGAACATTGAAGAGACGCCATAATCTGCTGTTCTTTATTGATAAATCCATGAGTTCCGAGTTATTGGCTCTTGGTTGAACAGTTCCTCCAAAAGGCAGTCGATTTTCATGTAATTCTTGTAGTTTTTCATCGATATTTTCGATGCCATACTTCGGTAACATGGGACCTTCATCCAGGAAGAAAACATCGATTTCAGCCAGCTCGTCACCTTCTTTCGAACTCTTCTTGATCTTTGACTTGGAATCGGAACCCAGAGGTACATTTAATGTAAAAGTCTTGTGGTCGGTTCTTCCTTCAAGTAACAACGTTGCTGCGATTCCAGTTGTGCCTATAATTTTAATTCGTTTTCCTTCGCCAAAAAGCATTTCTTTGTTTGTCTTCCATTAGCCGCATCCAAAATGGCGTCGACCGCATTCTTTTGTTCTTTAAGCAATGTTGCAAACATTGTTTGTTCTTTCACTCCTCCATCACTGGCTGAGATAAATTCTTAATAGTCTCCAGTTTCAAATGATTCTATATCTGGAAAGCCATATCGCGCCACCCAATCTACAAATCTTCGACCATCCTTTGCTTCTTCTTGTATACCGGTGGCAATAATTCGATAGGTCCTTACAATCGCATTGTCTATTGGTAGTCCACGTTCTGTGTTGAACCGAATAAATTAATCCGCCAGATCCTCTTTGAACATATTCCATAGTTCAAGTGGATTTTCTGATTCACAGTTTGTTAGAATAGTTACAAAAAAATACGTATTACTCTACCGACTCTTGTGTGTTTTGTTTCATTTAAGGCATCTTTCCATTGTTGATCATTCTTTGCAAGAGCGACGCATGCTTCCTTGAAGGATTTACATGGTTCATCACGTACTGGAACAATAAACAGATCTTTATGGTATGTTGGTTCTTTTGTCTTAAGAAGCAATGCACGACAATGATGAAGATCCGGTTAAAAGGCAGTGATGTTATAAACTCTTCCAATTTTCGGCTTATTTCTACGAAGCATGGGTTTCCATTCGCTTGTATTGGAATGCCACGTACTCTGGTATTTGCCAATAAAATAAATCGAGCGCTTTCTTGTATCCGTCATTTCCTTTGTCACCTTTGGCAACTTTTTCCTGAGCCTTTTTGTTGAGTTTAAAAAATGCTTCTAGGCGATTTTGTTCATTTAAATTAAGTATCATGATTGTGGTGTCATTTTGCTTCTCTAAGTGTCCCTAGCTTATATCTGAGTCTGATAAGGTTTTGGCTTTCTCTATAACGAGATCGCGGCACGAACAGACAGAGATTGGCACTTTAATATAGTAGGATTATTGTTACTTTGGATGATGTCATCTAAATCACCAACAGAAGAGTTAATGCTATTGAACATATTAAGGATATGAGCATAGCTGTGTTTTTTCACTTTGGTAACCCCATTTACATTTGTGCCTTTTGGCATACTGAGTTTTCTCCCTGTTATTTCTTTTAATACCCTTCCATTTTCTTCTATGGTTTCACTGTAAACTTGGTTTAGCTGTTTTCCCTCAGTTTTTTATGTTTAAACTTTTTTTTAGTAATTATTACAAGAACCGAACGTACGTTGGCCTACATCATTTCCGAACTGGATGAACTGAAAAGAGAGGAATTCTACAGATTGAAAAAGATTCAAGACAAGAAGAAGATCCACAAAGCTAAAGTAGAAAAAGAGAAGCAAGCCCGTATAGCAGCTGGTATCGTCAGGGAATCAGAAGCTGGCAACTTACTGGACGAAGGAGATGAGGATATTCTTTTCTACTACTTCAATGAAAGACACCGTTTTCTTGTAAGTGGTTAGTATTCACCGACGTACTTTGATTTGTATGGAATACACATTGTCGTTTCTTCTACTGTCAGTTTTTAGGATTAATTAAAAATTTTCAACGTCGTTCTCCTAGCCATTATAATCAAGAAGAAGGAAACTATTTGCAACTCTTTTATTTTCTAAAATGGTACGTTTTTCTCTATTTTTACTTTGAAATTTGAAATTGTTGAAAAAAAGATCAGTCCAACTTTTGTGCAGTACCGTGCTATTGTCTTTTTGAATAAAAAAAGACATTTAGTTAAGTGTCAGTTAGATTTAAATCCTAAACTGGGTAAAACTTTGCTTTGATTATTTCGGAGTTTGGTTTTTATATGTTTCTATTCTAAACCTTCCCAATTATTAATTTAAACAAGCAAAAAAGCAAATCAAATGTTTAACAATTTCGTATTTTAACGAAACCCTCCGAAATATGATCTCAACGTATAAGGTACAAACTCCCATACCTTGACAGCATTAAAATGCATCCATCCCTTATTATAATGAAGCAAATAAGGTGAATAAGTAATGAAGACGATCGCATGTCAATTTCCAACGTACAAAGGGCGCGATGGACGTTTCTGAGCAGCTTCGAGATAATAGAGTGTTTTCGGTTTCTGCTGAATAACCTCTAGACAACCTCTCCGAATTCATAAGTACGATATTCAAATTTCATTAGCGATAATAATAGGACTATAGCTATTACCTTCATGTTTGGGCCGTTGAAGGTAAATGAGATTCAAGAGGAATCACCGTAAACTAGTTTTTACTTTTCAAGGATGAAGCTGTCAAGTAGCCAGTAAAACATCAGGATTATTTATATATTGTATAAGAAATTGACGGATTCATAAATTTAGGCGTGTGATCTGTACACAAGATACGATATAGATGACTAAAATTCGTTCCGAAAAATAAATAAAAGAAGAGTGCAGTAAAAGGTGGGGATATAAAGTCACAATCCATGGGCGCATTTTGCGAAACAAGTTTCTATATGATCACGGCATATAAAATGGTATACACGCAATTAAATTTTGAATGAAAAAGTTATATTATTTACAAAAAATAAAAATTAAAACTTTATGCTTCTATATAAGAAAATAAGAAACGTTAATTGCAAATTAAAGGTGATTGCCTAATGCGCTGCCTCTGATAACTAGGTTGCATTTTTAATAGGTCTTTTACACATAATGCATTGTTGAAATTATTTACGACCTAAAGAACTAAAGACTTTGTTATCATAGTATTTGAGATATACTTTTTGAAAGTTAATTTTTGAATTTGTCATTTTTTTTTTAGAAAAATAAAAAACATTGGTCCTTTCGAGCTAAAACAATCACGATATGAGCTTAATAGAAAAATTCCTTCGCAGCCGTCATTTGGTCGTAGGAAGAAGCGATGGTAGTACCAGACAGGTACAAGACCTGATTTTAGAAGGCAAACAGAGGTTGCTGAGGAGATATCAGAAGTCAAAACAGAACACTTAAGAGTCAGTAATAACCAAAGAAAAAGACAAATCTGTCAAGGCAATTTCTAAGAAGACAAAGTCGGCAAATTCAAAGAGTACCTTGGAACTAAGGCTAGAAGCAGAAAGAAAAATAGCAACTCTTGAAGAAGAAGAAGAAAGAAAAGCTAGGGAAAGGGAATACCAGAGAGAAAAGGAAATAATACTAGAGCTTGAAATGCAGGTGAAACAAAGCCGGTCTGGTAGTCAAAAAACGAATGAAGTTAAAAGCAGAGCTGCTGATCAGGTTTTTTTGCCAGTTGAGGATAGTAATGATAAAGTAGCTGGATAGGTAAATCAATCACACCAAGATTATGAGGAAAAAGTTAAAAAAATAATTTAAAACAATTTTATAATCCTTTAGAGTCTTATCTTGTCACACAAACGGTTAGAGATTTATCTATATTCTAAGGGGATCCAGAGGAGTGGGTACTCTTTTTTTTTAGAATTTAGACGATCAACTAAAAAATGTCATTTCTCTAATGACAAAAATTTGGTTAGAATACAGAAATGTCTTCGGGGTAAAGCTAGGGATACAATTAAACCTTTCTTAATTTCTTCAACGTAAATCAAATTATTGATACTCTTGAAATGAATTTCGGTAGACCCGACATTATCATATCATGATTAGTTGTTAAGGATAAGAAGGCACCAGTCGTTACAGAAGGCAAGTCCAATGTTTTGATTACCTTTTGTAATATAGTACAAAATTTGACGAATACGATGGAAGCAACAATTAGCAAAGGTCACATGTTCAACCCACAGTTACTAGATGAGTTGAGTTTGTTAGGAAATTACCTATATATATCAGAATGGATAGGGAAAAAGTAGGCATGGGGCTTCGAAATAATGTAGGTAAGTTTATTAGAATTTTTAAACCGGCGACAATCCTTGGACAAATAGAGAAAAAGACAGAATATGAAAAGAAATGTTTGCTTTGTAATAAAAATTCTCAAAATTTAGACACTTTTTAGAGAAATCAATGGATAAGAAGTGGATAAACACATAGGCCAAGATTAATTCCTCGGCTGGGCCTGGTGAAGAAGGCTCTTTAAGCAGACAGCTAAACTTGGATGAAGACACTTCGACACGAGGTGTAAGGCAGATCTCAGAAGGAGATATACGAGAGGTGAAGCAAGGTTCTTCAAGAGATATGAGACAAGGACAGGTGAGAAACATACATTTAATTAAAGGAGAAAGAATCAATGATTTATTAAAAATTTTGCCTGTAATTTTAAAGGGACCTAATAGACAAATTTTAACATTTACCTTTTACGATGAAGGCTCAACAGTCTCATTAATAGACTTAGAATTAGCTAAAGAATTAGGTCTCAAAAACCGTATTAGCTGAAATCGAAGTCAAAATTGAATCAAATTTATTTATGGACCGACTCTAGAACTATTTTAACGTGGACAAAATCAGAAAATTTAAATTTTAAAACATTTGTAGCTCATCGTACAGGAGAAATTGTAGAAATCACAGATAGAAACAATTGGCATTGAATTTCTACTAAGGACAACGTGACAGATGAAACCACCCGTGCATCCAAACACAAACTATTCTGAGAGGTGGTTTTTTGGACAGAAATGTCTGCAGTTAAATGATGAATTACCAATAGAGAATCCTTTAGACAAAGGAAATATAATGAAATTCCTGATGAAGAACTAAATTTGTCGTCAGTAATTATGGCACTAAAAAGATTAGCAAGAAGAAGAGGCACGATTAAAGAAATATATTCGGATAACGGAACAAATTTTCATGGATCTAATAAAGAACTTTTGAAAAATATAAAAAATTTGAACACAGAAGAATTAAAATTGCACTTAACCTAAAACAAAATTATTAAACTGAATTTTAATAGACCAGCAGCATCACATAAGGGGGGAGTTGGGAAAGAATAATTCGTTCTATAAAACGCTGTATAAGTACTTTCCGAAAGATGAAGTGTTCTGAAGATCCAGATTTCCCAGAATGTTTGACACCAAATCATTTTCTTTTGATCCTCAACTGGTGAATTCCCTGCTCCTCCAACAATTGATGAAATACCAAAAAGACAACAATAGAAGACTGTTCAGAAGTGGATAAAAGAGTATCTGCCAGAACAAAGGAAAAGGGCAAAATGGCACGAAAGACCTCAAAGAAGGCGACGTGGTAGTGATAGTCGATAACAACCTACCTCCAAAGACATGGCCAGAAGGCAGAAGACAAGGTAGTTCGAGTCGTTGAAGTGAACACCAAAACTGGAATTTACAAGAAACCTGCAGTGAAGATTTGCAAATTAGATGTGTGAAGAGTGTTCACAAAGGGGGAGAAGTTATCTACGACCTAGAGAACTAACTTTTATATTAGATATTGTTATTATAGTAGTTAAGATATGCTTTTTAAAACTTAATTTTTGAATTTGTCATTTTTTCAGAAAAATTAAAAAATACTAATTTATACATACTACAGTCCACAATTTATTTTAAAGACCAAGCATGTTTTTCATCACATTATTAGAGATAATACACCTTAAATAAACATTTAAATAATTATATTTTTCGTAAAATACAAATCAAATATTGACATGTGTAAGAAAGTGTCAGAACTGGGCGCTGTCAAATTTGGCAACGCTGATTAAATAGGCCAATTACAGGAGATGGATTTCCCCCTTGGGGGGGAGTAGATGTTGATTACAAAATTTAACACATGGAAGGAGGGAAGACTTTCTCTAGTAGTAATTACTCGAAGATATATACAATACGGCTATGAATAAATAAAGTTTTACTTATCTGTCAAAAGAAAAGGTTTATTACATTGAAAACCGTGGCAATATTTTTAAATCTATTAGAAAACTTCTATTAGGCCGATGAGATGTATTAAAATTTTCATTTTAACTGCAAATAAGCATTGAAGGCTGAGGTATAAATAAAGTATCTATTTTTTGAATATGTACTACGTTTTGCAAATTAAATTACTACACTCCTTTTTCTCCAGACTTCTTTTGTAAAATATTCAATAAAAAATCTACTTTCTTGTTTCTATGTTTTTATTTAGCTTAAATGTAATTATTGGAAAATTATTTGAATATCAATTTTTTAGGTAATATTAAGACAAACAACTTTTGTTTGAAACTTTTTCGTTTAAAATGCATATCTGAAAATAGAACAAAACAAAAAACTTTTTCTAGATAGAATTTTTACCTAAACCAAAATCGGATCCTAGGTAATTGCTACATTTATTCTTCTTGTGTAACTTTATCAATTATAAAAATAGAAAGGTAATTAAGACTAATAAGAAGTTGAATAAATATATGAAGAGATCTCAAACACAATCAAAATAAAACTTATTTGTGTTAATAAAATTTTTAAATGTCTTTTACTTTGTTCAATTTAGATTATCCTACACACTGCGCCAATTGAACGTCGTACAGATATAATTCGCATTAGCATAATTAATTACTTCATTATGGTAACGCTACAAATGGGATGTGTATGCAAAATA